TACTATGTAAGTTTTTATTATGCTGGCTTTTGTGGAATGTAGTTGCTTACCCAACTCTTAAACTCGTACCATATTGCAGGGAGCTCATCTACACTTTGTCTGACGCGCCAGCCAAAGCTGGTATGCACGTCTCCTGAAACGTAGTTCAGAACAGAGGATTGCGTGAGTTCAAGGGCTTCCTATGTGTCAGGCCAGAGCACTCATGCTCATCTTGTAACACCCCTACAAGCCCAGAAAATATTTCCAGCTGGTGTGGCAAGGCTTACAATCCATGTTTCCCAGGCAGTTTCTGGTTTACTTGATCGCTTAAATATTTACTGATCCCTACCATGTGTTAGGCCTTGTGCTGAGTGCTGGTGATGCTGAGAGAGGTCAATGCCGGCCTTTGAGGATACCTCAAAGTTGGTGGAAGAGAGAGACAGGTGGAGAAACTGTAGAGTGTGGTCAGTAGGTAGATAGTCTTTGGAATCAGGTTGTCTGCAGGGAGCTCTGACTCTCTTAAGTCATATAAGTCTTCTGCACCTCTGTATTTTCATCTGTAGAATGGAGACAAGGAAAGTGTGCACTTAATCAGGATATTGTGAGCATAAAATAATGCATGATAATGATACAATCCTTGGGGTACTAGAAGGGTCCAATAAATATTAATTATTATTCCTGGTGGGTTTTGTCTACTTTCCCTTTTCCTCTGCTTTCAGAATTACTTTTCATCCAGTTCTCTATTTTTTTAAATGCTAAACACAATTATAGTCTCAATGGTTTAGTTGTAATTTGGGCACACTGGGTAAAATCAGGCTGGGTGGGAGGTATATACATTCCTTGAGCAGCCAACCCATCTTCCCCTCCACCTGCTGGTGGGTCAGAACCTCTTGATGTCCTCCTGGCCCTATTGGAGTTGGCCCTGGACCTAAGGGGGTCTGCACCTGCTTGATGGGGCCTGAGGCCTAGGCACTGAATGAGGTTAAGAGGAGGCAGGGATCTATGTGCTTACTAATCTGCTCACTTTATTCTTCTTAGTATGTTTGTTTGCTCCTTGGAGGAGAAAGAGGAGGTATTTGTTTAAACAATCTCTAGAAATAGAAGTTATTTTAAGCTTATTCTTAAAGAAAACCAGATTCTGCTTTCTCCGAGGGCGCCTCTGTCTGTCCTCGCCTCTGCGGCTGTTCCCCTTGAAGGTGACTCCTGCCACTGGGCAGCCAGGAGTGGGTTTGGCCTGAAAGCAGCGAATGAATCTCTGGGGCCCAGGATCCTGGCCCACCCTGTACCCCAGAGCTTTAGGCAGAGCCAGTGGCTCACAGCTTCCCTTCTGCCTCCTGTTGCTCATAAGCAGCCCCAGAACTCTTTGCTTGGGAAAATTGTCCTTCCTGTCTCCCTGTGTTAAGGCTGTCTCATCTTGCTCTCTGCTTCTTGACGTCTTTTTTTTGAAGGGTTGTTAGAGCGGGAAGCAGCAAAGCAAAGAGGTTAAGAAGTTAAGAGTAGACTCTGGAGTGAGAGAGACCAAAGTTTCAATGTGAGTGCAAATACTTTCTACCTGGGTGATTTTTACCTCTTTCACCCTGGCTTCCTTATCTGTAAAATGGGAATAATAATACTACTAACTCAGACACTTGTCTTGAGGAGTAAATTAAATAATTCCCGTAAAGCACTTAGCACAGGGCTCAACATGTGGCATGTGCTCAGAAACTTCTAGCCATTATGATGGTAATTATTGTAGGTGCTGAAGCATTCCATGGGGGAAGGACAGCAAAGAGAAGTAACATTTTTGAGCATTTCTTTATGCCATGCAACGTCCTAAGTCCCTCACATTCACCATTTAATGTAATTCTTTCATCTATCTGGTATGGAAGGTTCTATTATAATCTTGATTTTACAGATAAAGAAATTGAGGCTCAGAGAGGTTAAGAAACTTACTGAAGAGACTAATGTATGTTGTTAAGAAAGTCAGGATACAGGTTATCCTGGTTGGGGAGTGACCAGAAGGGGGCGCAAGGGAGACTACCGGGATGCTGATAATGTTTCTTACCTGGTTCCTGGATACGTGAGTGTGTTGACCTTATGAAAATTTGTCAAACTGCAACTTGATATTATAATTTATTCACCTTTATGTGCATATGTTTTTCAATAAAAATTTGAGAAAAAGGAAAAAAAAAGCAGCAGTAGCTTGCCTTCAGCCACACAGATTATAAGTAGCAGAGCCAGCTCTTTATGCTCCTGCATGCTAATGTATAAACCTTGTTGGCCTGGGCCTGTGGAAGCTTTTCTTATGCTCAAGGCCCTTCCTTCCACAGTAGGCTGTTCCAGCCCCAGGGAGCTCTGGTTCAAAGCCTGTTCAGGCAACTAAGGAGGGAGCAGGATCATTATGAGGCATCTGAGGGCCTGACTCTGCCTGAGGGAGCCTCCCTGATGCAGGTCCAGGAGGTCTGCCTGGGATCAGCCATTGGTGGGCTCCAGGGCAGATCATGGGGCCAACTGGAAGACAAAGCCAACCTAGGCTTGCCATGTTCCTTTCCCCTGAGAAAACAACTTTCATCCCCTAGCCCAACCGGGGACTCCCTTTCCTTCTACTTCCAGGTTCTCTGAGGAAACCTCCACTCCTGGCTCCTTAGCTAGGTTCCTCCTACCTGTCTGCTGGAGCTTGGATTGCTCCAGTGGACAGCTCCAGTGGATGGTACATTCTCTAGGTCTTCCTCCCGTGAGGCTCATGACACAAAACCAGAGAGACAGCCAGTTTCAGCCTGGGCTCCTGTTTCAGGAAGAAGCAATGGAAATGCAATTCTTCCTGGGGGGGGGAATGGAGAAAGGAACCCTCAGGCCTGTCAGCTGGATTCTACCTTTCTCCCCGGAACCTCATTTCTTTAAAGAAACGTTCAAATTTTAAAATAGTTTTAGATTTACAGAAAGTTGCAAAGATAGTACAGAGTGCTCTTGTAGGCCCCCCACATACCCAGTTACCTTGATTGTTAGCATCCTCCGTGAGCATGGTACATTTGTTACAACTGAGGGACCATTATTAGTCTGTTACTAGTAACTAAACTCCGGACTTCATTTGGCTTTTACTAGTTTTCCATGAAGGTTCTTTTCTGCTTCAGGATTCCACCCAGGAGATCCTGTTATAGTTAGTCATCACATCTCCTTTGTCTCCTTTGGTCTCTGATAATTTCTCAGTGTTACCTTGTTGGCGATGATGCTGGCAGTTTTGAGGAGTACTGATTAGATATTCTGTAGATTGTCCCTCCGCCGGTCCCTGAGGCCTTTCCTGTGATGAAACTAAGGTTATATGTTTGGGAGAAGAAAGCCCTCCTCATCAGATCCTATCAGAAGTACGGTACATGCTGTCAATGTGGCTGATGAGCAGTGAGGTTCATTTCGATCACTTGAGTAGGATGGGGTTATGTCAGGTTTCTCCACTGCAAAGTTACTTTTTCTCCGTCCCCTTTCTATACTCTTTACTTTGGGATTGAGTCATTAAATGCAGCCCACGCTCAAGGCCCACCCCAGCTGTTCTTAGTCATCGAGTTTATCTGATGCAAGGCTTATAAGCACACACAATCATCGGACGATTTGCGCAGGTAGAGATACACCAGCTCCAAGCCAGACGTCCAGACACTGGCATACTGATAATACAGACAGACACCTAAATGAGTTCATATCTGCAAACACAGACACTCGCAGGCCCAAATAACGCAGTTACTAGAGAAATCAATAGTTTTGTCATTCCATTTCTCTTAGCGGCCAAGTGATAAATCAACTAGGATTTTAATTAACACAGCTTCTGAAATCCCACTTTCTTTCTAGTTCTTAAAGGTCTTAAAGGACAAGAATGGAGTGTGCCTCTGTGCGAGATGGGGGTGGCTGGGGCGGCAAAATGGTGAGTCTGACATCTAATCAGGCCTCCCGGGAAGGGCTCAGGGGCAATTTGGTGGCACTGATCCCCTTTGGCTCCTTTTTGTGGCCTTTCCATGGCCCTTTCCGTTCCAGGCCTGAAGAAGGGGGTGTGAGTGGGTCCCGCCCAAGGGGTCCAGAGCTCTTCCCCACCCAGCACTACAGGCTTCCTCTGTGCCGAGTGCTGGTTCTCAGGCACCGTGATTTAGCAGCCTTGCAAGTCCTGTGTTTGGGAGGAGGGAACAGCCGAGGCCCGGGCCGCCACACCAAGAGGCAGCAATGTAACTTGCCTCTGCTATTGACAGAAGAAGGAGGAAGGATCCTAGAAGGAAAAAAACAACAGCTGTCCACTGCAGTGTTCACAGAGTAAATGAGTCAGTGAGCGAGTGACTAGTTCATTTCCTGCTTCTTAGAAGCTCTTAGGTCATTTTGCTTCAGCTCTCTGTCTCTAGAACATGATGATCAGATGTTCTTCCATCTTCTCTACCCCCTTTCTAATCATGTTTGTCTTGGGCCACTCTTTGTGAAAGCACTATTTTAAAAAGTCTCACACACGGGGCGCCTGGGTGGCTCAGTTGGTTAAGCGACTGCCTTCGGCTCAGGTCATGATCCCAGGGTCCTGGGATCGA